ATAAGAGCATGAAAGTAATTAAGCGACAGAAAGGTACAAAAATGACGACGAACGATATTACGGTGAATGCAGGTGATTGTTTGAGCAGACCAGTACCTTTAACAAACTCGATAAGGTCTTCTGCAGATAATGTGTCCGCTTTACGGACGACGAAAGCTCGGATTAGTTCGTATCCTTCGTTTTCTGGATCTGGGATGCCGGTAACAGCGACGTCTCCTACTCCTGGATGACTCATGAGGATGTTTTCCATTTCTGAAGGCGAGACCTGCACACATACCGTGACGCCAAATATGAATGTAATCACTATACCGACAGCGTGAAGACGCGTAATTGTTTGTTATGCGTATATTCGCGTATTTACACCTCTGTTTAATCTGAGACGTGCGTGTCATTCATGAGAAGATGTTTGTTTCCTGAACAAAACAGTTTGGCTTTGTATTATCGTTGCTGCAAGCCATCGCGATCGCTGGTTCGTTGTGTTCAAGAGTAGTATATATGGTGTATACGCGGTAAAGTCGGTTGTTGTATCTATTATGGGTATCAAGTGTGGCACTTCGGTTTGAACCTTGAACACTCGGCACAGAAAGCCTCAGCGTTCCTGCTTCCATCGTTACCACCACTGCTAATTCGCTCCTCAGTTTGGGAATTATACCTGAATCGTCGTGGTTTTGTCAGGTGCAATTCGGATGATATCCTTTAGTCTATCCATGAAGTAGATGAAGCCATCGTCATCGTACTGCACGAGGTCTCCCGTGTGAGAGCCGACCAGTCGACTGTCGAATCGGCGTCGCGTGCCGACCAAGGCGGTTCAGGATGTGTTGAAGTATGTTGAAGCCGCGCGCATTACTATATACGAGAAAAACCACTACGAACGTAACAGTATCCCACGCCAGTCGTGACGCAGGGGCGCAGCACAACTCCTATGGATTGAGTCCACTACGCTAACAAATGCGCCAGCATTTCTCCGTTTAATAATCGTACTTCCAATTTGAAGGCCTTCGCATGAATAGATGCAGGTAATGTTGTAATGTTAGTTGCATGGAGTATCGAGAGTCTCAGTGTTTATTGCTGATAACTGTAGATCCAAGGCCTACGGGTGCACGATAACATATCGTTGTGCACTCGACCTACATCACTCTCCCAAGCCAACGACCTTAAGACAGAAATACGTTAACATACCAGTTGGCATTGAGGAGGAATCTAGCTGATAGGTTTTTCCTATAAGACATACTCTTTTGATCGTTAGCCAGTGTTCGGTTCCCGTACTAGCGGTTATGACAAGCCCGCCACTCGCATTCGACATCCCTTCCGTAGATGGCTAAATATACGAAGTTCAAACTATCATAATGCAAGCAAGAATAATATTATAGTGAATATTCATTACAGACCGCTCCGGATAATGAACGCATACTGAACATTAGCTAACATAGCACACGAGGAGCCGGAACGCGAGGAGTCTGACATCAATAATTTTTTTCGTTAGATATAAAAGTTGTTTTAGGTTTCAATAATGCTGGTCGTTACCATCTTTGATACATAGCATTTTTTTCTTATAAACATACTGGGGTTAATGATAAGCCGTGGATGTGTAATTTTGGCTTCTTTGAGAATTGCTGGGCTGCGGGTACTGCCACCTGCGTCACAGCGTTCGACTGTTGGCAGTTGGCACCGCTTCTTTATTAAGCTCACGACCAACGGAGGGATGCATAAAAGATAACTGACCTAAGTTGAAACATAACAAAATAATTTAGGTGAAATATTAAAAAAGTGCGAACAAGAATGTTAAAAATACAACAATATAGGCGTATTACTAAAATTGAATTCATATCATATGTCAATTATTGAAACAGCCTCACGTAATGTACTAGAGCAACCCACAACACCCTAGAATACATTCACGAATAATAAATGTACCATATTAAAAAAAAACATTGTGCATTTACCTTGTACTTGTTAATAGCTTGACTGTATTCCTCAGGAGTACTGAGGTAAGGCAGGACTAAGAACGCAGCACCAAGGGCTAAAGCGCTCATCGTCAATAGTGTGCCACCAACATGCGCCAGAGGCAGCGCTAGTATAAACACATCTTCTTCTCTGACGTTAATGCTGGAAAGGTGAACCGATAATCTTATTTACGCTTTATGTTACGCCCATGTTTAATAATTTTTTTTAGTTCTTTACCCATTGATTAGGATTGAAAGAAACACTCTTATGAGTTCTTAGAAGCTAGCAATATTTATTATACGAGAAGTCTTAACAAATAGTTTTGTTGTCATTTGTCAACTTATTGCTCATGAAATTCGAAATACGGCAAATCTGTATGAAGGGATTTTTCATTGATAAGATGCCTTGGATAAGGATAATAAACATGTTATACATGACTAGTTATAACCGGTGAGCCTGGTAGGAATACATAATTGATTGTAAATTTAGCAGTCGATAAAGGTACTGTTGCTTATTTTTCCTTGAGTTACGATAAATACCTGTGCACACGCATGTGAGCAACTAGTTGCTTGTGAGTCCAAGGTACTCCTTTTGGTAGACCAGTTGTTCCGCTGGAATATAGCACGATGGCTAGGTCACCGGATTCAACACGGTTGTCTTTAGGAAATGCGTCTCCGCTGTCTTCCAGGAAATCAGTAAAAGGTATAAAATCTTTATCCACAGCGCTCCCAAATGAAATCGGGACCTCAAAAAGCATGGAAAACACGTTTCATATAAATAGTATTCGCGGGTATGTGCGTCTGTGTGTGTAATTATATATTGAATAAATAAATAAATAAATATATAAATAAAAATAAATAAATACATAAATAATATATATATATATTTATAAATTTTATATAGCAGCTACCTGCTAGTGAGCTAGGTGACAAATTGTCACTTACCACGTTCTTTCCAAAAGATTCGAGCACTTTCTTCCCTGTTATGTACAGGTCACTGGCTATAACGCAGAACTTTACGGTGCCACATGACTTCGCAATATCCAGCTTATAAAGTATCTCCTCTGACAACAGACATGTAAAACGGTATACAGGTAGTCATGTACGTCTATGTATAGTACGTGAGTACCGCAGATGTTTTTACACTGGTGGAATTATTACACAACGATTTGTTTTTAGCCGTTGCATCAGACAGACACGATACGAATAGACTAAGAGCAATTGCAAAGAAATATGATAATGCGAGGAATAACAGATTATTGATGAAGTATTGTGTGCTGAAAACATGCGTGTATACAGATAGACCAGGGACCTCGCGTTGCCCTCACAATCACTCAATAATTGCATGGTGTCACATTGGCACAGTCCGGGAGAGAGGAACGTGCTGCCGCTTTATATTAACACCAATATAAGTTCTTAGTTTTTATAAACTAAAGCGAAAGATCATCTACTTTACTTTAGGTAATAAAGGAAATCTCTTTAAAACTTCCGCATGTATTTATAGACATAATATTATATAACTTCATTCATTGCAGTACACGCACCAACAATGCCATGTGAACATAATCGAGACAACCATCAGACGTATAGCATACATGACAAATAACGGGTCATCACGCTGCAGGACATCCTCCCAACGCGTGGGTCATGACGCCCCTAGCGGAGTAAACTGCTAGCAGACGGAATCACGTACTCAGGGCCAAGTTGAAACTGTAACGCACAAACGTTAGACGTCACCTTTCCTGAGGCCCGCGCCGGGGGCCAGACCGCTAGCTACTCTTTTAACGGAACTCCCGCGCAGCTCGTCTGTACGACACACCTTCCCACCTTTCCTTGCTAGCATCAGGCGGTCCAACACTCGCGCCCCCATCTGAAAACTATTGGGCGCTAATGCAATAATGCGTGGCATGGCACCGCAGAAAGTGTTCATAACGGAGGGAATAACCAGTATTCTGCAAAGATTAGGAGAAAATAAGTGACGAAATACGTATAGAAAGTTGAAGCAGGAGAATGACGGAAACTGAAAACTGGTATCGTGAGGCAGGCGTGAGCCACGGTGAGTGAGGATAATAGATTAATGAGGTGATGGTACAGCAACTTAGCAAGTTATAACCGAAAAGGAAACGCTTGTTTATATTGATCGTACAAAAGAGATGCATATATATAGTTGTAAAACTCATAATTCGGGGTGGTGAACCATTGCATTATAGTTCCATCCAATCGCTCATACCTCTGATCATTTTCTTGTGGCGGCAAGATCTGTGGATCGTGTTTATCAGAAGACAAAATTTCCGTATAATGATAGAAATAAGCTGTTATAGAAAATCCGCGTTTTCAGATAAGTTGTCATGGTGAAGCGCATTGTTAAGGGAAACTTCAACTTTGTGAGGTAGACGCGCGTAACATAAAATTACAGTGACAAGGTAGAGTTCAGACTTAACCAGGCTATCGCATCCTGTGACTGCTAAACCAAGAGTGTTGATCGAGAAAATTCAGTGGAACCGACATGTCTGTAACATCAACATGTGGGTACGGAACTGTCTAACACCACGTCCTTCACGTCCTCCATCGTTTGTCTTCTATAACAATCCCAATATATTAGCCGCATTACACGTGTTTTTTGCCATCTTCTTCTCTTTCTGTTCTCTCTCTCTCTCTCCTCTCTCTCTCTCCTCTCTCTCTCGTCTTTATCTCTCTCTCACTCATCTCTCCTCCCGCTCAGTCTCTCTCTCTCGTCCTCTCTCTTCTCTCTTTATCTTTGATCTTTTCTTGTCTCTCTCTCCCCTACCTCATCGCTTCATTCCCTTATTCTTCTTGTCTGCCTTCCTGTCTTTCCCGATCTTAAAATAACCGCGCACAGGGACTCTTTCGCGTCATCAACTGTCTAATTCTTTTTTAGCTTTCTTCTCTTATTGTCTTTGTGCTCTCCTTCCTAATTTATCACAAATCTCAACAATTTCAACGGAATACGTATGTCTAAGAGACTTTGGTTTCGGCAAATCCTTCAGCGTCATCATTAAGATCGTTATTTGATTATTACGTGTATTAACGAGAAAAATATAAAAGAAAGAAGAGAAGTAACGCCTACGCGACTTTCAATGGGCGTGAAAAATGACACACGGGGAAACGGCCAAATACCCGTATTAGTAAAGTGACGTTGAGTGGCAAAGGTAAGAAAGTTGTCACATTACCAGTACTTTCGCACTCTGATCACAATATTTCATTAGGTCCAGCAAACACCGGTCACACATATTTATTATTTACACCACACACACACACACAACACACACACAAACACACAACACACACATCACACAGCGGCGGCGCGCGCTGCGCGAACGCACGCGACAAGCGCACGCACGACACCACGCACACACTATATAATAGTACATATGTATCTAGTAATAAATATTTTTGTATAAGCAAAAATTACAACAATTGAACGTGATACAAATATGTGGAAATCCCTTAATAAACCGTATTATATGCTTCTATTTTTGGCATGCTACCCCTGGTGAAATATATAGGTCAAGGTAAGAAGACGACGTAATTTCGGCCCACCGCCCGTAAGCTGGTTAGGGGTCAACACGGCACCTATAGTCGAGCTAGAGCGAGCAAAAGATATACGAGCTATCAACGCGAGCACGCGCCACCGACCGGGCACACACATATATATATATTATATATTATTATTATATATATATAGGCACTTTACAAATCGTTTAATAGTTGCATGCTATGCTATGCTATGCTTTGTTTCTGTTACAACAATAAAGTTGTGCTATTGGTAAATTTAATTTCAGCATACCTTGTATAAGGTGACCACCTTTCCTCCTCACCTTACTCTAGCCTATAACGCACCGAACGTAATGCACGCTGCAAGTTTTCTTGCGGCAACACCGGAATTTGGCTCGCCGGAGTTGTAGGCCAATCCTGCGTGACCAATATTGGTCCACGAGCCAGCAGGGATGGTCGCTACTATCAGCGTTAATGAGTTCACGGAGTTCAATTTAAGTTCATTTACAGTGGGTGATGCATGGTTGCAATTTTCTGAGAGAAAAGGCATCTAATAAGTAGGGTATTCCCTGCTGATGGTACCGACGGGAAGAACGAGGGGTTGACTCATGAACCCGATGAAATGAACATGGAGGTCTGTCGATCGCCTCAGCCTAGTATTAAATCAGGGCTGAATGAAAATAAATGTTTGTCTTTATTCACTCCTGATGAAATGAACAAATGTTAGCTAAGGGTAGGTCATCTTGAAGGATACGTTTCATTAAAAATATGTTTACTTCTACGTTTTATAATGTGCCACTACGTTGAACTAATCTTTCCCACGCACATGAGCCATTGCATAATTTTCCAATTTTTGCACAAGATGTTCATAAAACATAAAATAAAGTATCACAAACAATTATCAGCTTTATTCGAATGGAATATAGCCAATATAACCAACGTATATAAGGGGCCATCATGGAAGTGGCTATTCTTACGACGAGAAAATATATTGTAATATATATTACAAAAACAATTTATGGTGTATAAAGACAACGCAACGCATGCGCATGCGTGTTGTATGTCGTAAGAATAGTCCAGAAATAATTCTTAGAAGGTAAAATATTGAACAGGTGTGAACATAATTATATAATACATTATGCATACACGACGCGCAAACACACGCACACACACACATACTATATACATATAATAATGTGACACTTAATTTCAATCTTTTCTACGCGCATAAGCCATTCGACATTTTAAAAGGTTTATCAATATTTAATAAAGCATAGCAAACAATAATAGCCTTTATTCAAATAAAATTCAAACAGTTGGTACTACGGCTATAGCCACCGTACATAAGGTATAAACATTCCGGTCAAATATCAATGGTCATTTGAATGAATGAAATAGTTCCAATTAATATTTATAATGGGTTACACACGAAATCCATTGATAAGACAGTCTTCGGCTATATTTCGCTGTTACAAAAAACGTGAGATTATTCTGCACGAGAACGTAAATATTTGTATCCAACCCTCTATAATCGATATTGATGACGCGTTCCAGACCACAGACACTTGGGCCATTTCAACAATAAAGTGACTAACAGAATGATAGAGAAAGACCTTTCCGTAAGTGTCTGAACAGTGGCGTGCGGTGCATGAGACTGTGTGCTGTAGAGGAGCATTGGAACGACATTTAAGTGGAATTATTAGGCGGTAGATAGTGCATGAACACCATAAGTTTATTATTAAATAAAATCTGTATTTATATGTCATTATTTTATTGTTAAAACGGCCCATTTAAGTGTTCTTTTCTACCACGAGTCACGCTCCCAAGCCATTCTTTATGATCTCGGATTCAATGGTTCTTGGATTAATTATAATTCGAAAGTGATGTGAAGAAAAGGAGCATGCGTACGTGGGCAGACACTACGTGGGCCACTTACAGCTTACTTTTAGCATTGCGGGTAATAAGTACTGGTGCCGGTGGTTGTTATATAGTGCCCACCTATACAAATAATCGGGGCCGCTTATAGCGCCACTATGCGTCATTAAGGAAAATTTACTCAAAAGGCTGAGCTTGAAGTTCGCTGCGCATGTTTTTGCCAACTTGATTTTTCGGAATGTTTCTCAGAAAACGAACACCTCCTGTTAATGTGACGTACTTTCTCGGTGTCTTCTCTGAAAAAAACAGATAAAAGTAAGTTGTACAGCAATTGTCGCGTGGAAGAAAACAGAAAGCATTCAATTTTGTATTGATTGCAAAA